GGATAAATTCCTTATTTAAATATGGACCTATTTTATGAATGAACCACATTTTTCCCCCTCACAAATTTCAGAAAACCCCCCCAAAAGCTTGCTGCCTCTTCTCCTAGAGTTCAGCTCTGGGAATAACTTGGCTTATTACTAAAGAAGGTTATGTTTCATTAGTGGAGCTGAGGGTGATAAAGGTGTAATCTTATTTTGTGTGTGATTGTCTGTTTCTTTGGCTGGGGGGTACCCAGTGATTTCCCCCCTGCAGTTGGATTTTTCAGGGGGTCTTTGGCCTCTTTGACCATCTCATAAAAAGGCTCTTACCATTTAAAGAGGCCACATCTTCCCAATCCATTTGCTTATACCTTTTCCATTTCCTTGTCTGGCTTTTTCAGGAGATAAGGTTTGAATGGTAAACATTATCTTAATTACAAGTCTGAATTTCTAAAGCACTTCAATTTAAAAATAAAAGAATATGTAAAAGACGGATTGATTTATAAACGACTCTTAAAAGCAGATCCCAGGACACCCTCTGGCATATCCAGATTACTTGCTTTCATGTATGAATTTTAATTTTCATGGATGCTTACAATGCCTGGATTATATGTTCCTAATACATTTTTAGCAATATGTTCTTGATACAAGAGATAAAGCTAATATTGATATTGTTGAATTTCTAGAGAAGGGGATGGATTGCTTTTCATTATCTGAAAAAACAAAACAAAAGATTGCTGACTTTTTGGAGATTGATTGCAAGTGGAATGGCTTTTGTTTTCTAAAGCTGTTGGTACAAGAAAGATCACGCATTTCTCCGATAACATTTGGAGAAAATATCTGATAGTTTTTCACAGCCAAGAATTAGTGCAGGCAGGAAAAAAATTATTATTTTTAAACATTTTTATTGATTTTTAGAGAGCAAGGGAGAGGGAAAGAAAGAGACAGAAAAACATCAATGTGAGAGAGACACATTGATTGGCTGTCTCCTGCACATCAATGATGAATCTTCAATGAGCTGCCTCCTGCACAGCCCTTACTGGGGATAGAGCCTGCAACCCCGGCATGTACCCTTGATTGGAATCGAATCTGGGACCCTTCAGTCCTCAGGCCGACACTCTATCCACTGAACCAAACTGGCCAGGGCAAAATTTTTTTAAAGAAAAAGGATAAAACAGTAAGCTTAGTTGCCAAGAACTCAAAATGAAGCATTCTCTGGCCTGGTGTTTGTATTTGGCACAGATTTACCAAAATGTTATTTTTCTTGTGGTTAATGTTATCATTACTGTCTATTTAAAAAGTCTTTTAACAGGCCAAATGCTTTGTCTCTGTTGTGCTCTGTGATTATACGGTGTGTGGTCTACAGTATGAGGTGGGAAACAGAAGAACTAGATTTTGCTTTGCAGGGTATGTCAGACTGGGTTAAACTGGTTCAATAATAATAATAATTACCATTAAGCCTATTTTTTCTTTAATTTGCATTTGCATTATGAACATTTTTTTTTCACCTCCCGTGACCCAAACACCTATTATTTGCCAGCCCTGTGCTAAGCCTTTCAACATAACATCTTATTATATTCTCATAATTACCACTGGCACTATGATGCTTCCTGTGTTATTACACATAAGGAAACTGAGGTTGTAGAGAGACCAAGGAATTGGTTAGAGTCACATGGCCAGTAATGTTTCTGAGCTGGAAACTGAAGCCAGGTCTGCATCTTTCCAAAGGGCCTACCTTCCCCCGCTTCCCTCTTCCATTTCTTACCCTGCCTTCCCCTTCTATCTCAGATATCACAAGGAGGAAACTAGCACCACCAGGCTTTCCCTGTAGGAGCCCATTGATACCTCAAAACAACTCCATTTCTCTCTCTCTCTCTTTTTTTTTTTAACAACTCCATTTCAGATGCAGAAACTTTGACTCAGTTAAGTGGTTTGCTGAAAAACATAGCTGGTGATTACAGGTTCAAATCTAGGGTTTTTGTGACAAGGTCTCTAGGCACTCAAGCAACCAGAGCATCCCAGGATTACCTGGGTCAGCACAACAAACACAAAAGCAAAGTTTGAGAATGATAGAGGGCTGTCAGATAATAACATTAAAAAAAAAACCCAACAACAAGTAATAACATTTTAAAATAAATGAGCCTATCTCAGACACTTTCACAAAAGGACTTTGGTTACGTTTTTTAGAAAGGACTTTTTTTTTTTTTTTTTAGAAAGGACATTTCAATGAGAGAAAACAGGAAGGCATAATTTCAGTTGGAGAGTTGATTAAAATGAATAACTTCAACTTTATGAAAAACTTTATATTGCCTCATTTTCTTTCTCTTATTTTGCCACAGACTGATCACTTGGTTGCGGACCAGTGTTTGGTAACCATTCTCCTACACCATCCTTTCTCACAAATCCAACAACTTAGCAACTGTTAGAGAAGGATTGCCCAGTGTGTTGTCAGAGTGTTGATTCTGTGATCTTTGGAGAGTCTATTGTATTTTGTATGGTGAGCTTCATTCTCATTCATATCTTGGTCAGGGCAGGCAACCTGAGGAGATGAAAAGGCAATAGATGATGATGGCTCTTGGTCAGCCCCTTTCCTTTTCTCCTCTTTTCTTGCTTATCTAGTAGCTGCCCTAGTATTCTTAGATGTTTGAATTATTTCATTTTCTCCTTATTTCCAATTTCCTTGCCTAAGCATTCATCAAGAGACATTTGGGACGCTGGGTAGAAGGAATTTTAGAACCAACAGTCTTTGGATTAAGTCGGGTGAAAGAGAAAAGAGGCTTATCATTTCTGGGTGTGGGCAGTGCCTACCACAGAGCCTTCCTTATACATCGTAGGTACTCAACAGTTACTTGGTGGACCAGTGAGTCTTATTTGTAACCTAATCTGTTAATATTAACTTCTAAGATTTTATATTACTTTGTGTGCATGTGAAAAGCTCAAAATTTGTTAGTTGAAATGTGGTATTAATATTTCTGTATCTCTAAGGAGTAGCGTATCTTGGATTATATAAGCCTCTTCCTCTGGCTTTAGGCCAACTTTGCTGTCAAACCAATGACACCTCAGCCTGTGTGGTGATGAGCTGAGGAAAAAGATTAAGAAATGTTTTGTTGTTGTTAATCCTCACCTGAAGATATTTTTGATTTTTAGAGAGAGTGGAAAGGAGAGGGAGAGAGAGAGGGAGAGAGAACTCAATGTGAGAGAGACACATTGATTGGTTGCCTGCCACACGCACCCCCATCAGGGCCGGAGTTGAGCCTGCAACTGAGGTACATGCCTTTGATTGGACTTGAACCCGTGAACCTCCAGTCCACAGGCTGACACTCTATCCACTGAGTGAAACCAGCTAGGGCAAGAAATACTTTTTTTATAGCAAAGGTGGAAATTTATTGAAGAATAAGTACAGACTCTCACATAGAAAGTGGGGAAAAGGGTCCCACAGAACTGACTCCCATGTAGGGAGTGGGAAGAGTCCCCAGAAGTACTTTTTTTTAGTATTGTACCCAAATTTGTGAAGATTGGGATTTGAGCTTTAAACTCCATGTAACAACAATAATGTGGTTTCTGATCTAAAGAAACCCCCATGCTTACCTTATTCAAAGAAATTCATCAACTTCGTCAATTGTCACAGTAAATAAAGTAGCTTTATTGTGAATCTAGAATTTAAAGAATGTTTTAGTGATTTTTCTGTTTACTATACCTTTTGCAGTAAAAATTCCAGTTTCCTAATTTTAATTAATAATTGGTAGTAAATGTTCTGTTTCAAATGGGAGAATGCATTGGAAAAAGACTCACCTGCAATGTTTTTTTTGTTATTTCAGACCACACTTGGTGCGAGTAAGCCTAACCATGGTGCAGCCAGATTCTTCTCAAAAGTGAGACCTCCCGAAGGACCAATGACTCTTTTCCCCGTGTCCTTTCATTTTCTCCTCCTACTCCATCACTATGTCTCGATCCCGCCACGCCAAGCCTTCCAGATTAGTCAGGAGGGAAGATCTAAACAAAAAGAAAAACAGTCAACTGAAGAAGACCCTCAGGCCAGTCAACAGAAATGTGGCATCAGGCAAAACCATGAGCCCCGGACAATTAAAGCAATTCATTCAAGAAAGGGAGGTTAAGAAAAAAACGGAACCCAAACCACCACCCATGCCAGTCAGAAGCCTGCTGACAAGAGCCAGCGCAGCACGAATGAAGTTGGAGAGGACTGAGGCCCTTTTTCGGAACCCGGAGTCTTTAACCTGCAATGGGTTTACAATGACTCTCCGAAGAACCTCCCTTAGCAGGCGACTCTCCCAACCCCCACTGGTCATAGCCAAACCCAAGAAAGTCTCACCTCCTAAGAATTTAGAAAAGCAACATAAGTGTGATCATAAGGTAACGCCCTCGGAGAATGATTCTGTACCAACACAAGACCCCCTAATCCCTCCTGATATAGAGAATCTAATGGACATACAAAATGCGTCTTTAGTTACAGATGAGAGCCAAGGGACAGCCCAGTCTTGGTGCCAAAGGGTGGAGGATTCCCAAATAAATTTTCCCACTCACAGTGGCCCGGCAGCAGCCATCCTTTCTGGGGCGCTGGAAGGGACACATGGTGGTGAAGGACTGTTCTCTAAAGAGACATTGGATGACATCAGTGATTCCCCAAGAATGTTTGCTCAGGACACTCTGTGTGCTCCTTTGCCCCTTCGAGCAGACCTTAACGTTACCTCGGAAGGAAACAGCAGCATTCAGGTAGAAGATTTGGGTTCACAAGTGGAATCTCTTAAGCTATCTGATTCTTACCTGAATCCCATCCAAAGTGAACATGATTGCTGCCCCACCTCCAGCTTTAATAAGGTTATACCTGAATTGGACCTTAGAAACTATTTGTCAATTGATGGGTCAGTATATTCTACCTCATTATTAAAACTCTTCTTGGCGGGTTCAGAACAAGGAGCCCTTGGTGCTGAACCAGATCCTCTGGAGGCCCTCAAGGCTACTCCAGATCAGCGGGCGGTTCCTGATAACACCCCTGTCTTAGGACAGGCCTTTAGTGCAGTCCCACATCAATGGGAAATTCCTGGTGCTAATCTGGTTCATGGAGGGGCTCTGGGTGAGACCCCAGACCCACCAGAGATCGCTGGTGCTATTTCAGTCCAAGGAGATGTCTTTGGTGCCATCCTCAATCAGGAAATCCTGGGCCCATACCAGATGGGAGCGAGTACTGCCTCAGACCCATCTGTCTTCCTTCCTGCTCCTCTAAACCCAGTTGCTACCTATAACGCTCTCCCAGAATGGCCTGATCCCCAGAGCACGGTTTCATACGGGCTCGAGGTCCAAGGTACTGTGCAGATTTTACCTTTGGGCTCAGGTCACGGTCCTCAACCATCCTCCAACTCAGAGGTAAATTCCGAACCTGCGGTCATGGCTATACACCATGTGGAAAATGAGAAGCAAGTCCATCTAAGCTTGCCACCAGCTGACACTCAGGGGTTTGCATTAGCCCCTGAGGGAGGACTCCACCATGCTTCACAGACCCTCGCCCTAGACACCCAGGCTGGTCCCAGCAAATCGGAAGGAGGGAGCCCCCAGGTGGACACCACAGTGGTGTCTACGCCAGTGTCACTTGTCAGTACCTCCTCTTCTTCCCACACAACTGTGCTACCTACTTTGGAAAAGAAGAAACGGAAGCGATGCGGGGTCTGTGAGCCCTGCCAGCAGAAGGCCAACTGTGGTGAATGTACTTACTGCAAAAACAGAAAGAACAGCCACCAGATCTGTAAGAAGAGGAAATGTGAGGAACTGAAAAAAAAGCTGCCCGGCCTTGTGCCTAAGGTGAGTAAATACCCAAGGGCCTGGGAGACGCCTGGGAGACTTGACAGAGGGATCTGTGTGGGGATAGCGCAGTATCGGACCCTTCTCCTGGGCTGTAAAATGTTGCTTTAAGTTATCGATTAGAAACGACCCACCTGCAGTACGTCTTGTGCGTGGACACATGAGCTTATTTTTAGAATTTGTCTCAGAAAACCAGAACATACAGTTTTTTCATTGTAGAGTTGGATAGAGACACAGGGAAATGGTATGAAATGTGATTTTGCAAACATTTCCACTGTGCCTCATTTGGCTAAGTATGTGTCTTTTTTGGAAGTTACAGGTTTAAAAATTAAGAGTGGAACAAATACATTAACTTCTTTGTAGCCTGAGAAACCAGAGGAATTAAACTTCCTTTTTTTTTTTTTTTCATGATCCCCCTTCTAAAAAATATATGATTTTAGCCCAGGCTGGTTTGGCTTAGTGGATAGAGCATTGGCCCGAGGACTGAAGGGTCCCAGGTTCCATGACCGGGTTGCAGGCTTGATCCCCGGTGGGGAGTGTGCAGGAGGCAGCTAATCAATGATTCTCTCTCTCATCATTGATGTTTCTATCTCTCTCCTTTC